TCCCGAACCCGAGATATGGTTGCGATGACCTGTCTTTTCCCGTTTTTGCTAAGTTTTCTCTGATTGTTTCCTTTCCCTCTTTTGGGATAAATAACGAACGATGGCGACTCTTCTGTCATTGTCGGCACCTTTTTCGCATTAGCGACAATATGTTTCGAATAACCACTATCAAGATACCAAAGATTTGAAGCGGTCTTCAAACAACCCTACAAACTAGATTACTTCTTGTTAGGTACCCAAGTTGCTTTGGGTCCTTCATAATTAATGCCCTTCTTAACCCACACATAATGCCCGCTTGCTATACTGAAATTTCTAACATATCATGCATTAGGTGTATGGCATATAATACCACAATAGAAGCAAGTAGGTACAAAATTATTCTTATATTATATCTAGGAACGAAGGATTTCTTTTTTGTAGCCTTTTTCTTTTTATGATGACGATGCACAACTTTAGGCTTGCTCACTTTCTCTTTAGAAGTTTGATCACTAGCTTTAACAAAGATTGTTTTGTTATAACTTGGTTGAGAAAACTTTGAATATCCAAGTTCGCTTTTATCGTTTGAGTATCTTTGTTGGCTAAGGACCCCTTCTAAACCAATTTGTCCTTTTTTGTATCTTTCAAGAACTCTTTTAAGTTGGACAATTTGAAATGAAAGTGACTCACAATTTTTGCATACAATGTTTTGTTTCTCTTCACTAATAATTTTTCTTTTTTCATTCTTTTCATCTTCCTCATTCTTTTCAATGATATTTACTTTTTCTTCTAAAAATGATATTTGTTTCTTTTGTGAAGATATGGTTTTACACAAAACTTTGTATTCATTTAATAGTTCGTTTATAGCCTCTTGAGTATCATTATCATAAATTGAAAAAGAAGTACTAACCTCATCATCTTCGTCGTCGGAGTGATGAGAAGTCATCAATGTCAAATTTGTACTTTCGTCGCTTTCGAATTCGGATGATGAACTAATATCATTTTCTTCCCATGCAACATAAGCCTTTTTTGTTTTTAGTCTCCTTTTTACCTTTGAATCCATTTTTCTTTGAAAGTCTTGGACAATCCAGTTTGATGTGACCTGGTTTCCCACATTCATAACATGTAACGTCTTGACTTGATGTGGAAGTCTCCTTTTTCTTGAAGTGCTTATTCCTTTTTGCATAGTTGGAAGGTTTGTCACTTTTGTTGAAGAATTTTCCAAGTCTCTTTACTAGTAACATAAAATTCCCATCTTCTTCCGATGCACCATCATCTTGTTCTTCTTTTGAATCTACTTTTAGAGCAATACCTTTATACTTTTTCTCTTGATGTCCATGCTTCTCAAGACGACCAAGTTCTAATTCGTGCTCTTGAAGCTTTCCAAAGAGTGATGCAAAAGTCATTATTGAGAGATTCTTCTTCTCCGATATTGTCGTAACTTTGGGTTGTAAATCTCTTGTTAAAGATCTTAACACTTTTAGATTTAATTCATCATTGGAGAATGTTTTACCTAATGCAATAAAATGGTTAGTCAAATGAAAAAATCTTTTCTGAAGAGCAACAATAGATTCTCCGGGAAGCATACGAAACATCTTGTATTCTTGACTTAGTATATTCATCCTTGATCTTTTCACCTTCGTGAGTCTCCACCAAAGTATCCCAGATTTCCTTAACCGATCTGCATTGTGAAATTCAGAAGAACTCATCCATGCTTAAATCACTTTGCAAAATATTGATAGCCTTTTTCTCATTTAGAATTTTCTTTTTATCATCATCGTCCCATGAACTTTGAATTTTTGGAGTACCGGCACCATTTACAACACTAATTGTTATATGAGGGTCAGTTTCAACAGTTTCCCATATGCCTTCTCCTTGTGTCTCTAAATGTGCCTTCATGCGAATGTTCCAGAAGTCGAAATATTCACCAGAGAATAAAGGAGGTTTATTACTGCTACCGCCATCTTTGAACACCAGATTTGCGCTAGTGGAAGCCATCTGGATCTTTTAGGAACAAGTTACCTATAAACCGCTCTGATACCAATTGTAAATGTGGAATGTACCTAAGAGGCAGGGTGAATTAGGTACTTTAAAAATTTCTCCGATTTTGTGGTAGAATTCTGATTTTACTTTCCTAAAATTTTCTATGTGAGGAATGCGGTAAATTACGGAAAGTAAAAGTAACACAGCGAGATATCCTGGTTCCCCTCACAGCCCGAAAGTACTCTAGTTCCCTTTCAACACGAAAGAGATTTTTAATAATAGTTTGGTCCTAGACAAGATTTTCTACCTAGTCTTTCTATACAGACGCAATACAATCAAACTGCCAAGAACTCACTCCTAGATTTTCAACTAAGTCCAATGAGAACAGTCCTCTCAATATGGACCTCTTGCTTCCAACAATCCTGGACAACAAGGTAACAATCCTTACAATCTTAATTCCAACAATTCTGGAACACTTAAGAATGTAATCAAAAGATATTTGAGTAACTTATTTGAATGGTATTGAAAGTGTGTTCAAATTTATCAATCTTTCGATTGGTCTTCCTCTTGATTTTCCACCTCTATATAATTTATCAAGTGTTCAAAATGTAAGAAAATGAAACTTGGATGAATTTCTGAAAATTTGAGAATGTAAGTTTCACTCTATAAAAATTTTAGAATTTTTGACACTTGAAAAATATGAAAGGAAAGAGATGAAAATATTTGAAAATTTTATGCAAGAAGGTGTTTTTTTTAAATATGAGTTTAGAGGTTTATATATGCCTCTTAACACCTTTTTAGAATGGCTATAAAGATCAAAAGATGCCATGGTTCAAGAAGAAGAGGAAAATATTTTTCAAACCAAAAGATGCAACTTTCTGGCCTACACGCCAGTGGTAATCGGTTACCATAAGTGGGTAACCGGTTACCTGCCTTTAACGTAACCAAAAATTAAAAAATTGCAGCAAGTAATCGGTTACCAGGATTAGGTAACCGATTACTTAGTGACAACTTTTAGAAACCAGTTTTTCCCAAATATAAGCCAAAGTGCATAGTTTTATGTAAAAATGTTCTTTTATGCAATGCAAGAAGGAGATGAAGTTTGAACACTTGAATAAGGTATATAAATGCTTAAACTGTTGTACCTCTATTGTGTCGAAATTTCTTCTTTCTTAATCAAACTTTGATATATTGAATTGAAAGAAAATTGCTTGAGCTTGATATAATCTTGGAAGTCTTGAAAACCATCATTGCATGTTGTAGATTATGCCGTCATCAAAATCAGTTGAGAAGCTTGTCTTCACACATTGTCTCTAATTGGTTGAAATAGTTGTTATTGTGTTGGCTAGAGGAGTGTGATCTACCATTGCCTCATTCCTTTGCGTCTCTAATTCTTTTCTTCATGCTTTTTTACTTGACTTTGACATAACTTCTTGTCATCGACACTATCTTTTCCACAAAGTCTGCATATTTTTGGGCGAGATACTCGTTGGAATGTACGACTTTCGACTAATTTTGGAAGGGTTCTAAGAACATTTTCTAATTGGGGTTTACCATCTTGATGATGGCTTCACTGAAATGTGACACATACTCCTACAAAGGCTCATAATACCCATGACGTACGTTGAAGAGACTTATGATGTTCACCTTATGATGCTTACTGACCAAAAACTAGTGGATCAGTTTCTTTGATAGTTTGTGAGAAATGGTTATAAAGAATCGGGAAAGTTCACGTACCATCATAAAACCATTTTATTCTTGAGTTAAGATTGCATTTGAGTGATTTTTCCTCACCTATCATCACCATATGCGTATTGAAGGCAATGACGTGGTCCTAGGGATCATTCTTCTCATTGAATGCCACTAGAGTGAGGGCTTGAAATATTCTAAAATTAGGGCTCCCGAATCTCGGTCGAGAGTCCAAAACCTTTAATCCCAACTATTGATCTTCGTCTTGTCATTACTGTTGATGGATTCTCTGGACGTTTGTTTGTAGAGTTTGGTTCTAGCGACGTAATTCATCCATATAGGCCTATATCTTAAGCAGGACATCTTGGCTGCTAGTACTGGACGAAACTCGTGTGACCACCGTCGTGAAAGAACATTTAGGTTAACAAAACTCTTGAAAGGGTGCAGTCTAGGAATGTTTTATTGGACTTCACGTTAAGCGTCATTTATACTCGTTATGACTATAATAATAGTGATTCTGCTTGCGATATGCCAAACAAAAGGTGTTTAGGTTAATGATTTGTGAGAAAATGTTGACTTAACCTAATCTTGATTATATTTTCTCGACCTAGACTCACACAATCCCGCTCTATCAGAGAGCATGATGGGTGACTCATCTCCAATGATATCTCAAGACGTGGCGAGATTGCCCATATACTAAACACATGTTTAATATCGACAAACCTTATTTAAATCCTCTTTATACATTTCATATAATCATAACTAAATGAGTTAAGGTTGTTAATCCTATGTGGGATTGAGTCATAATATTCAACGGATTTTTATGTGTTTCAATCGCACATAATTAAATGAGTTTTATATTTGCAATAGAAGATAAATCTCAACATTTTGTTTGTAGTGCATTGAAATATTTGTGATGTATTGAAATAAACTATTGAAAACTTTAATGGTAACAATCTAAAATAATAGAACAAATCAGGTGAGGCGACAGTGGATTCGACGTAATACTATTTTTAAATTTAACTCGATAGTTAATCCGAACCCAAAATCGTCATAAACCATCATCTTACGACGAATCTTCGAGTTTGGTTGGATAATCCACATCCTAAATAGGGTAATAATGGGTTAATTTGGTTTGGGTTTAACTTGAAATTAATGGGCTATATACTATATCTTACATGAAATGAGTATGTGCAATGTTGGGTTTTGACCTCAAAAAGAAGGGTCTGCCCTGCGCTTTCTTCTTCCACCATTGCATCAGCAGTTAGGGTTTGCAGTTTCAGTGTCTGTCACTCTACTCCACTGCTCCGATCAGCATACCCAAAAGTACGCTAAAACACTGAATAATCTGAATGGACACTGAAGAAGACCCTCCTCAAAACCAAGCCAAAAGGTCAAATTCGTTACTCCTCCATTGTTTCTCTTTCGTTTTTCACTTTTTATTCTCCACAATGATCATTATTCTTGCTTTATCACTATTCAATTCCTTGATATGTTAGAATATACCAGCTGTTTTTCAATTTGCGTATGCTAATCAATGTAGCACCGACTCATCTGAAAAAATGTGTGTCTGTGTCGGTAGGACACCCGCACCGACACTTGTATTTATTTTTTCAAATTACTACCGTCGCTGTATCAGTGTCGGAGTCATATTCGGGGTGTTGTGTTTCATAGGTGCTAATTGAAAATAATCAGTATCTTGTATATAATAATTTCTCAAACTTGCTTTAATATCTGATCACTTTTCTGCATGTCGTAAATTATTAAAATATAAATGAATAGAATCTTACATGATCTACATAGTTGAGTTGTTTAAAAATAGCTAAATTCTTGCTGCATAATTCAGACAGAAATGCTCGGCGTGCTATAAACAATATAAGAAGAAAGAACATCTTATTCAGCACATGAAAACCTCTTACCACTCCATCCATCAGCCGCAATGTGCGATCTGTAGAAAGCACTGCAAATCTTTTGAATCGCTGAGGGAACATCTCATGGGTTAGTTATGAGTTTGTATATTCGATCTGATTTCAGTATCATGGCTTGTAATGTGCAACTATTTTTTCATTCTTTTTGTGCCCTTTTTTGTTTTAAATGTGTTTTAGGACCTTTGGCTAAAGGATTTTGTTCGGCGATTTTCTCACATGAGGGTTGCAAACTTTGTTTAACACTAGCTGATAGTCCTGCTTCTCTCAATGAGCATAAAGAAACTTGTCAACTAACCGCACCTGTTCCTCTTGTAAGTTGGTTATTAGCAACCGGAAATGTTCATAATGAAATAATATATTTGATGTGTTCTATTCAAACTAAACAACCGAAAAATTTCTGCTTATAGTTGATGTTTTGTGTGTCTTTTGTTTTGTTATTGTTAGGAAGTTCACTTTGTGTGTCAAACTGTTGCAGGGCACAAGTGAATTTCCCTATACAGACTCCAATATCGATTTTCTGGATTCTTCTGATGAAAACGATGCTGACTGGCGTCCTAAAGCAATTGCATTGGACTGTGAAATGGTTGGTGGTGGAAGTGATGGATCACTGGATGTTTGTGCTAGAGTATGCTTGGTTGATGAAGATGAGAACTTAATCTTGCATACATATGTTAAACCTCGAATCCCTGTTACTAATTATAGGTAATTCATCCTTGTGCATGGTTGTTTTCCTTTATTGTCAAAAGAGAGAGCTGGATGAAGACTAATGAGTGTTAGGGTTGGCTTTGTTTGACAATTTTCAGGTATGATATAACCGGGCTGACCGAAGAGCATCTTCGAGATGGTATGCCGCTTAAGCAAGTTCGGGAAAAGATATTGCAGATTCTATACAATGGAGAGTCCATTGGAAAAGTTAGATTGGATGGTGGAAAGGCCAGGCTTCTTGTAGGGCATTCTTTGGCATATGATTTGGATTGCTTGGAAATGAGTTATCCTGATCACTTGTTGAGGTACGTGTTTCTTGAGTAACCAATTCAGTTATGCTCAATCGTTCAAAAAAACATTCTTTACAACCAATTAATTCAGTTATTTTCCTGTTCAGCCCTTTAAGTGCTTCTCGTCTTTTGTCTGATCTATGAATAAATCAAAACAATTATCGCAAAGTGCTGAGTTCCTTAAGTTCTTTTCTCATTTTTGTTGCCTACTATACAAAGATTATATAAGGTGCATTGTAGAGTTCACTTGAACTGTTTAGTTGTTACAGTTATCAGTTTTTTCTTTAGCATAAATAACTTTCCAGTTTTTAGTGATCCGTTCTATTCGGTTGCTTGGATATTTCTTAACTGAATAATGTTGTATTCAGTTTTATCTTTTATGATTTTTGAGCAGAAATTTATATTTATTTAAACTAACATGTTGCCTATGCATATATTATGTGTTGCAGAGACACTGCAAAGTACCGTCCATTGTTGAAGACAAACTGTTCCAGCCATTCGCTCAAGTATCTCACCAGAACATATCTAGGGCAAGTTGCTTTTTCCCTCAAGCTTCCTGAAGTCTTGAATTGCTTCATCCAATCGAGTTTTCCTTTCTCTATTATATAATCACCCAACACATGGACCTCAATTGAATTGGCCCACTTGTGTGATTGAGCTGCATAGATTGCTGCAGTTACATTTCTCTTATACAAAGTTTAAACCTGTCTCCACTATAATTGTAATTTTGCTTTACAGTTATGATATCCAAACCGGAACACACGACCCATATGAAGATTGTATTTCTGCGATGAGACTGTACAAGAGAATGCGAGGTCAAAGCCATGAGGAGAAAGGTTACGGAAAGTTGACTCCAAGCGACAACATCGTTGAAATGTGTGACAGGTGGAGATCCAAGGAACTGGACAACCTCACTCCAGATGAACTCTATGCCATCTCAGAATCAGACTATAGGTGTTGGTGTTTGGATTTGAAGCCAAAATTGGCAAAAGCATAAGCTGTTGATACTTGCATCTCTCCATAATACCAATCACCCAGTGTACATTCTTAGCATTTGTTTTGATTATCTTCTTTTTGTGCCAGTGACATGCGTTTGGGGTGAAGCTACACTTGGTAGCAGAAACTTACCATACACTCGAAATCGAAATGTTGCTGCGATACCAAATATACACTTCAGAAACTATCTAATTTTGTAGATATAAATTCTATGCACTTAAAAGTAAAATAGATGTTTAGTTTGGCACTAGATTAGAGACTAGATAAATAATGTTTTGCGTTATGCAAGTGTTTTGAACGCAGTTTTCGCGTGAACAACTTTTGATCTCTTAACGTAGGTTTACTTGCGGAACCGGTCAAACGAGTCCCAGAACACTTGGTTTTGATGTATGGGAAAGTGGTGGAACGGTGTTAATATGCTAGAAATTACTTTGAGCAAAGACTAAAATTTTATTAAGGATGAATACGTAAACAAAAAAAAAAAGACGACAACAAGACAAGATACTCTAAAGATAAAGATGTAAATTGCTTATTAAAAGGGAAACATAGACGCAATTATACATTTTACACGAGTGAAAAGCTTTTTTCTCTTAACGTTTTGTTACTCAGACAAAAACAAGACAAGATACTCTAAAGATAAAGATGTAAATTGCTTATTAAAAGGAAAACAAAGACGCAATCATACATTTTACAGGAGTGAAAAGTTCTTTTCTCTTAACGTTTTGTTACTCAGAGTGTTTTTCTTACAATATTATGAACACACCTTCTGAAATGGAACTAGACATTGCCTTAAATAGGAAAATAAAATAACTGCCATGTTGAATTTGGTGGTGCCACGTGTTCGTCTACCACTTTTGTAACCCCCCACGTTCTCAGATTTCAAATTCGTTTTCCGCTCGAATATTTTTCCTCTTGCATGGGTTTCTCCGTTCGTTAGTCGACCCTGTAGACCGACATTGTTTGAGTCGACCCAACAACCTTCCTCTGTCGACGTCGACTCTCTTCATCTTCTTCCCCATCTTTACTAGCCTGTCGATCCGCTAGCCAGTCTCTGTGTCGCCTCTCTTTGGTCAAAACTTCCAGTCAACAAGATGCCCCCTCAAAACCAGTTTCGACGGGATACTCTGTCGACCAAGAAACTGGGCATTTTGGTTCTATGGAATTTCGACAATGTTTTGGTTACGACACAACAAAAACCATCGTTGTTTTTCCGTCGATTCAGCCACGCGTCACCCACAGCCTGAAGTAATGATGGCGCCTTTCTGCGCCACGACTTTCAAGACACCCTCACTAACTTTTAGAATGAGAAACATTTTGCCTCTTCCACTGCACGCAACGTTGCCTATAAATAGCCTATTTTCCATTTTGTTTCTCTTTTTCCACTTTTCTCTCACTTCCATTTCTCTGAAAAATCCTTTGTCTTCAAAGTTCTCCAACTCCCTCTCTAATGGCTTCTTCCACCACTCACACCACCGGTAACAACCCTATAGCCTTCGTTCGTTTTAAAGTTGACAGTTTTAGGCCCCTCCCAAATCTCATGTCGGCTGATGAAACAGTGGTAGCTGCATGACAACGCCAGATGGTCATCCCTTTCACTGTTGCTGGAAAGCTGCATGCTTTCCACAGGCCATATCATATTAACAAGCCCAGCCACGAGGAGCTACAGGCATTTTCCCTATTTTTTGGCCACCATCCCCCCAGCTTTCCAGAAAGGGGGCACTCTCGACTTGAAATTCATGGCACCCAAAGCTCGCGTCTTTCGGTCGATGCCTACCCCAGGCAACAAGGATTACATCTCCTGGTTAAACAAAGTCCAGAACAAACGCCAAGAACAATGGAAAAAGGTTGGTATCTTCGACGCCATCCATCTTTCCAGGAACGCACACAGGGTCAACCCTTGTCTTCTGCTGGCTGCAATGTTCTTCTGGGTAGGTTCGACCAACACGTTCCACTTCTCTTGTGGTATGTTGACGCCGACTCTCTTCGACGTGGCAACCATTACAGGTGTCTCACGTCTGGGTGAGACATTCGACCCAACTCTTGAGACGGATGCTACCTTCGACTTCGACCGAGCTGACTTCCAAAACTACATAGAAGATCACCATGACAAAGGTTCTGCTGAAGTGTTAAACGAATATCACATCGCCTTCCTGACTCTCTAGCTATCTTACTACCTCTTATGTCCTGGATCTCTACAGATAGTCAAGAGTTACATTAGCTTGGCAATCCAAATACACGAGGGTCGATAGGTTTCCTTGGGTAAATTGTTGTTGTCTTCCCTTTACCATTCTCTTGGCTTGCCGGCCTTGAGAATAAAACTTCTCCATGAAACCGTCAAATCCTTGAACGTCTCAAGGCCCATGTAGTTATTACAACATTGTCTCAATGCCACTTTCGAGCATCAGATGGGTTATCCCGTGTTTGCGACCATGCAGCGTCTCGACGAAGACCGTCCAGTCGAAGGCGTTCGACTCGCCTTGATGACTACGCAGGAAACCCTCAACAAAACGCTTTTTATGAAGTATCTTACTATGTTTGCTGAGGCAAACATCTTTGTCCCCGACATGGCCCCTTTCTTGCACTGGCGGTTTGGCCCGTCATGGTTCAGAAACCCTTTCCCTGGTGCTTCGCCAAAGACAACAGTTATGTCAAATTCCATATAGCGGGTGTTCCTGACTCCTACCATGTTGTCGTTTCGAATCGAGACGGGGAACAATGGTTTTGGATTCATGAATTATCAACCCAATTTGGTGGCCCGACAATTTGATTTAAGCCAAATGCTTCCAAAGTCTTTGGTACAACACACCTCTGATATCGTATGGGTTGGTCGACGCCTAAACTTGGAAGGTCACAATAGCTGCCTCAAATTTTCTAGGTCGACTTAGCGCCTTGAGTTTCCTATTTTCTCCTTTCAACCATCTTTCTTCACCACTGAAGCTTTCAACGTTTGGTGTTTGGAATACCAAGACCAATGTTTCGACCGTGATCTCTTCCTGGAGAGTGTGGTTGACGCTTTTGCTGCTCTCAGGGGCAAAACCCCTGGCCAAACAATCTTTGTAGCTGTTGAAAATTCCTCAAGGACTGGTGTCTCCGAGGACCTCTCAAAAAAGTTACTTTCTACACTTTCCTTGTTTGACTTTTAATTGTCAATATCTTATTTTGTATAATTGTTTTCTCAGGGTCGAAAGAGGGAACCACCTATTGTGTCGACCTCTATTAGGTTGACAAAGAAACCAAAAATCCTTAATCCTCAGGTATCACATGTTATTTGGTGTCTATTTGGTTTTGTCTCCCCTTGCCCACTCACGCTTTTTTCCGTTAGGTTGCTGAAAAAACGTCGGCTCCTAAGGGCGGCGCATCTAACGAAAGTGCCTAATCCCAGTTCTTTCTCTCTGAGACGTCGAACTCTCCTCCTGCTACTCCCTCGGTGAAGAAGAAAAAGGTTCCTATAAAAATAACTCCCTCTAGAACGGTCACTTCAATTGTAAGGCCTGTTGTTCTTGAGAATTTAACTGAAGTCTTCCAAGCTGTCACCACCAAACTCCCTCTAGCACAAGATACTGCTAAGGTATTTATTGTCCTTATATATATATATATATATATATATATATATATATATATATATATATATATATATATATATATATATATATATATATATATATATATATATATATATATATATATATATATATATATATATATATATATATATATATATATATATATATATATATATATATATATATATATATATATATATATATATATATATATATATATATATATATATATATATATATATATATATATATATATATATATATATATATATATATATATATATATATATATATATATATATATATATATATATATATATATATATCTTTTTTACATGGGTGTTTATTTATGCTGCACTTCGCAGGACAATACGGTCGACACGACTGTCAATCTAAATGTTGATCAGGTCACGACGAATACTGGTAATCCTACTGACACGACGCCTCTATTTAGCCCTCAAAAGGTCAACGAATTCCAGGGGGCGTCAACAGAAGAGAACCCAGTGGCGAAAACAACCCCTGTTGATCACACAAATGAGGCTGATGGGGATGATGTGGCCACAAGTGGTAAAGACAATTTTATCATTATCCCAACCGCTGTTGAAAGGACTCTGACTCCTCTAGGTTCAGCCGAAGGAAACCCTTCTATTGGAAAGATACCCACCCCAGATGAAATCTTGGCTATGAAAAAGTCTAACCCTGCAGAAGCCCTGAAGGCTCTTCTCAAGCTTCGTCGGTCGACCGTGGATGCCACCCCTGCTGGTTCGAAGGCCACTCTCAACCCAGAGATGGACAATTCTTTCAAGTTGAAGCTTCAACAATTGAAGAAGTATTTTTTTGAGGATGAATTCCTGGACGCAGTGGCAGAAGAGTCGGCGGTAGCCTGCGACGTTTTTAAAATACTGGATGAACTCTATTTCTCTCTAGAGTGCCTCCCTCTATGGCTAAGTAATTCATTGAGTCTGAGGCTTTCTTTACTCAGCTGACGAAAGACCTGTCAATGTGTAAGCAAGCTGATACTCAAATAAGGGGGAAGATTAATGAAATGAAACGCGCGTGATATGTCAACTCTCTTTGTGAGAAAAAACTTGAAGATTTTGAAGCCACAAAGAAAGAGCATTCTGACAAACGTCGGGCCTTTGACCAACAGCTATCTGATTATTGAGCCCAGATGGTGGAACTTGAGAGAAAGATTGCCGAGGTTGAAAAACAGAAGGCTTCTTACAATTCTGATGGACCTCTACCGGCTCAGGAGGTAATCAACCAGGAATTATCTCAAGGGATAGGTCACGTCGAAACCGCCCTTGTGCTAAAAAAGACCATCGACTAAATGCGGCAGAAAAAATTTCTCTTGGAAAGCAAGGTGGATCATGAGAGGACCCTTTTTGAAGATTTCCAGGCCAAGTTTCCAGCATAACCGTATTGTTTTTTAGTTGAA